TTCAATTTTTGTCATTAAAATCTAACACTATGTATAAAATATAAAAATCAAAATTATCCCATATACTTCAAAATAAAAATTTATATTTTACAATTGGTTGAATCCAGATGAAACCAAAATCTACCTACGTATGACTCACTCAGGAACATAGCAGATTAGCGCTAATAGAAAAATAGCTTTAAAGCATTGCATAGATGTTGTTGTGATGCACACAACGTTCCAAGAAAGTTCTCGTACGCCAGATAAAATACGAGTAAATTCGATAACGAGCCGTATCCTTGCAGGATGCGAAAACAAATTATCTCGTTTGCGTATGGCGTCAGGACAAAAATAAAACAAGCGCCACTCGAGAAATTTATGTGATTGCGCAATTTTTGTTGCCGTAGGATGAGTAACTAAAATAATAGTTTTGTCTAGGGGAAATGTTGAAATTATAAGGTCATATTTGGTATGTAAAAAAAATATATTTTAAAAATTTTGGAAATTTTGATATTTTATGCTTTTTAATGTATCCTACTGTGCATAAAGTTTTGCCACCTTGTTAATAAAAAAAAAATAGTTTGGTAGATAGCCAAAAAAACGTAATTAAGGAATGCAGATTTGATTTATGCCAAGTGCAATGCGCTTGTTATTATAAATGGCATATCTGAGCATTTTCCATTTCAAAGGACTAAACTGTTTAGTCTAAACATGCCATTTATTATGTTGACTGCTATTTCCAGACAAATTTGTTCAAACATCAAAAACTAAAAAAATATTTGGTAATTTTAACCAAATATTAACCAGATTTCCTGTTAATTCATTCATAACCTTAAGTTGATTTTACAACCAACTGTAATCTGGTAACTAATTGAAAAGTAACATTTTGTAGATTTAATAACCAAATCCTATATCAATAATTCAACCATAATTCTTGTAATTTTCAAAAAGGACCTTTTTGTAGACCCAGGAAACTAATTTTGTAAGCGATTAATAAAGTAATATTATTTAACTTAAATTTAAAATTGTAATGGCTATAAAAAATGCACCACCTCAGGTAACTTTTTTATTAAATTTTCAGTGTCTTATTAGGACAAAAACCTACGATTTATCAAAGTAATGAGATTATTTTTATTTACAGAATAAACTTTTTTTACTGTTAATAAATTTCTCATTTACAATAATGAAGCAGCAATGTTGAGCTTTTATAAAAAAATGTTCATCCAACAAAGTAATAGTTGTTATCATATTGTCTTGGCAATAAGAAATACTTTATGTTTATATTAAATCTTTATCGAACTTAAAATGTTTTTGTTAAATCTATAGTTGTGTGTAAATTGCGCTTTGTTCATTTTACTATGGCATATTTGTCTTTTTTAAATTACCATCGTTTTAATTCAAATTAATTTTATTTTAGTTAGAAAATCTTTGTTAATAGCTTACGTTAAGAACAATAACAAAAATATTTTATTGCTATAAAAATACTTTTTTAATATTTACTATTGTTCTGCAATGGTAACAAAATTTTTGCTATTTCCCTTAAAAAGAGGGGGAAAGGGCCAGCGCTCTCCTTGGTGAACATAACTTTATAATCCACAGCCTGTGTTATAATCTTATTGATTTCACTTGTGCGAGTGAATTGTGGTAAAATCTAGCATGATAAAAATATCAAAAAGATCACTAAGAAAATTAAAATTTCGACTTTTTTCTAAAAGAAATTTTTAAGGTCCATTCTATAAACGAAGTAGGCTTGTTGTTTAAAAAGTGAGTTAATTTTTTGTTGTAATAAATAATTTGTTTTAATGCCTTGCAATTATTTAAAAAAAAACCTACCCAACACCCAACAGTAGGTGGAAAATGTGACCATTGTTACAATGAAAATAGTTGTTAAATTTACATAAATTTTATTAATATTGTAAAAAAAGTTTTATTTTAAACGAAAAGGGATTTGTAAAATTTATAAAATTTTTATGAATAATACCATTAGGGTTTCATTAAAACTACAAAACGTTTTTGTAAACGATATAGAACTGTTTTATTGGACAAATAATAATAACTATATTTATCAATGCGTTTCTTCACCTGGAAAAGTATTATTTTTATAAACATAACGTAAATTAACTTTATAATTAATGCAAATGCTATTACTGAAAGCAGTATTTGTAGATAAATAATTTTTATAAAAATGATATTTTTGCCGTAACAAAAGCAATTGTTGGACAAATACTTTATTAAGACAAACTATAGTTAAAGTTAAAGTATACTTTTTTTGTTATATTTATTAAAAAATTTCTGAGTGTAGAATCTTAAAAAGCATTTTTGACGCCACGTATTGTTTTAAATAATTTTAAAGAAAATTAAAACTAATTGTGTTTGTCCATTTTGCTACCTTGATTCATGCAACAGATAAAGCGGATCCCCTATTCGCAATTATACACAATTTTTTTTAATTATCTGTAAATAACGATATTATAATGAGTGGCGGAGCTCTTTCGCACACATTTGTAAAAACATGCCGTTTATCCTATTATTGTGTGGGAAACCGGTCACATTTAACTTACACTTATTTATTCCTTGCTCGACTATGTTCAATACGATAAATACGATAATTGGCTCACCTTTTACATTAATTGATTTGTCTTGATTTTGTTTAATTACATTACAAAATCGGCAGTTGTCATAATGAAGTCATTATGAATAAAAAATAGATAAAGGTAGTTTAAAAAAATATTAAAACTTCTGAAAACCGTGTAAATATAAACCAAACTTGCAAGTTTGTTGTAAAACTGTGTTGGTTGTTTTGTAAGAAGCATCTACGAAAAGTCAAACACCGGTAATGATGGTAAAGTAGCCGATTAGCAGGGGATAAACATTTCGGGTAAATAAAAATGGAAAGCCAAACCTGCAATTATCAGATTAAGTCCCGACGGGGTATTCTCTCTTAAAGGGCATGAGGTTTTTCCCAAATGTTGTTATACGGTTGTTGTATACGGCGAGATTGTAGGGTATACCCTATACCTATAGGTACGTGATACTGCGATATTGCAGATATTTGATATACAAGGGAATATACAAGGGAACAACGAAAATCAAGTAGTCATTTAATATTACAAAAATACCTTATTAAAGAGTTTTATTAGTATATTAGGTATCAACTTGATACTATCAAGTTTGATAACCACCATATAAGTCACGAATTTAATTTAGAAAGAGCGAGCTTGCTTGCGAGTGCTTAATTAAATTAGTGCCTAGAAAAGTTTGTACGAGTTGCATACTATACTACCTAATATTATCTAAAAAATTATTTAAATTAAAATTAACAATTATTGATACCTACTTTAAAATATTAAAATAACTTACAAATATTATTATGTTACGAACATGTTTAATCTTTTAATTTTTTTTACTATAATTGCAAAATATTATCACAAAGTATAAAAAATTCTTACACGGGAAATGTTAAAGGTACAAAAAGTGACAGTTGTATTTATTGGAATTCCCGTTAGAATTTCTAACTTGAGAATCTACCGGCGTTAAAATCTCAATTTTTTCTGTGTAAATCACAATTTATCTAACTAACAATCGATATTGAAGCAGTTTTTCAAAGTAAAAGAGAAGAGAATGTTTTATGGGCACTGCACGCAAAATTTTTAACGCTTTATCAGTTAAATCTAGCACTTTTCAAATATTGGCGTCAAGAAACTATGTACTATAATAGTTTTAAAGGTGAGAGTAAAAAACATGTTAAAAATAAAATAATAAAGTTCATATTCAGAATATTAAAAATTTCCATATTTCCATAATTTCCAATATTTTTTATACTTTTATTTTAAAATTTCCAAAATCCTTTGTAATTTTTTATTTAAAGAGTCAGGTACAGGGTGATCCCCTATAATGTCGCCCACTTTTAACTTTTTTTTAAAATTAAATTTTAATGTGTGGTTATGTAGGTACTCAAATATACTTTTTTTCAACGTATAATAAAAATTGGAAAATTGATCAGTATACAGGGAAAAATAAAAAGTTTATTTTTTCTTAATGAACCATTCTATATATAAATTTATTTTTCGATTCCTTAAAAATTCTAAGCATAATTTATACAACATACCCAAATATTTAGAAACGGTTGAATTAAGGTATATTATATCTGATATAAGGTATGTTAAATAAATTATGCTTAGAATTTTATAAGGAATCGAAAAATATAGGGTGATCTGTTGGGAAAAAAATTGTTTTTCCCTGTGTATTGATGAATTTTCCAATTTTTTTTATACGTCAAATCACAAACTTACTTTTTTAAATTCCTGGTAATCAAAAAGTTACAACAATTTTTGCTTTTTGACAGGATTTTAGTTTTTTTTTTAATTATTTAGGAATCGCCGATTGTTTTTCCATTTTAATAGACTTGTAATTATGCAAATTTTGTCTAATTTAACCCACTGTCTAGCTCTTCAAATTAAAAAGACACCTCCAAGTTTTTTAATTAACTTCAAACAAATCAAGAGTTTTATACTGTCGAATGATTTGAAAAAATTAATTTATTTTTATTTTCTACGAACATATCTGCCGTGTTAAGCTTAAATGTCGTATCTGCAATATTTTGTAGTAAAGGACAGAAGAAAATTTTAATTTTAAAAAACGATAAAAAATGGTTTTTTTGCTTAACTACTAAATATTGCAGATATGAAGTTTTGTCTTCGAACGGCAGTTTGTGGTAGTAAAGAAAAAACTTTATTCTTTATTGTTTTTAAAAATTAAAATTTTCTTCTGTCCTTTACTTTACAAAATATTGCAAATACGACCTTTAAGCTTAACACGGCAGATATCACGTCTTAAATTTGTCACGATTGGTCGGCAGTGGGAGCCTTGCGGCACTCCGCGAGGTGCGTACTCTCGGATCGGCCCTCGTAAGTCAGCGGAGGGCCACAGGTAGAAGAAATACCATTACTCGGGCGAACTTCTCCCTTCTCAGGTGACGATACGATTGCACTTTCTTCTCGCTGTCGGCTCGGCTCGGCTCGGCCACGTTCGGGTTTCGGTCATGGCACGCTGTTCTTGCGTCCGTCAGTTTAAGCGCACCGGTCGTGGCAGGCGCTGGCACGGTTTTCCTCGCTCCTCGCGCGTTTCCTCAAGCGGTTTTCGCAAGTTTTTTTTTCACCCGATTCGACCACCCTTCAACGCAGTGTTCGGGATTTTCCGCGCAAAGTTTATTTATCAGTGTTCTTGGTGCTCTTGGTGATAGATATTTTATCGGAAAAGTTTTTGGTGGATAATTGAAATTTTCTTCGGCGATGACAAGTGGAACTTGAGCGGCACGGTGTTTCGCCACCAGATTCACGTTGTGTGATGTTTTTTAGTAACAGACGAGGTGCTATGGAATTTTTATTTCATGTGAACGTCGGACCACCTTCATGCTTCTGAAGTCTTTTCAATGTACGTATATTTTATTCGTGGGTGTATATAGTTAGTGTATCCACCAGATTTCGTCGTTTGCTCCTTTTATTATTAATTTACGGTCAACTTATTGCTAAAAAACTTACCGGCAAATTTCGCAATATTGTTCAACATATTTTAATTATAGAAACATAACAGCTTTTTCACTTAACCATGGGATACCATGATATCTCCAACATTTAATAGCCAATTCTTATGTAAAATTCTCTTCTGAATCCGAAAATACCATCAAAAATTATGGAAGTAGAGCAGTTGTTGAGATATAGTCAATTCCATATTATAGGGACAATTGACTATATCTCAAAAACTGTTCTACTTTTGACGACATTTTTGGATTCAGGAGACAATTTTACATGGAAATTGACTGCTAAATGTTCGGTATTCAAATTGCTATTGACGAGAATTATTATCGCATTTTTGTCTAATTCATTTTTAGAGAGTTGGTTATCTAACAATTTTATTGCATATATTTAAATTAGATTATTAGGTAAATATTATTTAATATTTTTAATTAAAAATAAAAATCTTAAATTGCTGCTTCACAAAACATTGAATTAAATTACTTAAATTATTATTATTATTATTACCAAAAGTTTTAAATTTACTTAGAGCAAATTTAGAAATAATTCAATACAAAAATATTATTTCTATAGCGAAAAAAATATATAAAAAAAGATTCACATAACATGCTTTACATGAAGATGGCAACAATTCAAAATTCTTGTCACTCAGTGTATTCTTATTACCATCATAAAAACAGTTTGTTATAAACAATAGTTTAATTTTTTAACGATAACTTACTAAAAACATAAAGCGGTAAAAATGTTACTTGTAATCTTATTTATGTGGGTTCCGCAAAAAATTACACTCAAAATAAAATCAATACTAATCACTTTAATTTCGTTAGAAACTTATACTCAATTTTATTCGGGAATTTTAATTAGGCGCGGAGAAGCTTGCGAGCGTGTGTTTAATAAAAATGAGTGCCTTACAAAGTTTATAAACGAGTTGCAAGCAAAAATGAAGTAAACAAAATTTCTGTCGCTTAAATTGGCGAATTCTCCTGGAAAATGAAAAATTCTCAGTTGAAAATAGATTAGCAACCGTTTAAATCCGATATGTAAGCAGTTTTCACAGTCAAACTTACCTTGAGAACGTTCTCAAGGTAAGTTTAAATTTAAATTAGTTTAAATAGTAAAGTTCTCAATTGTTTAAATTAGTTTAAATAGTAAAGTACTTTACTATTTAAACTAATTTAAACAATTGAGAACTTTACTATTTAAACTAATTTCTCGCTAAAACAATTGAATTTATGAATTTGTGGTTATGTTTCTTCATTTAATGTGAAGGGCAGCTACGAATGCCATCTAGTCAAATTAATCCAAAGTTATACGAATTTTGATTTTCCGGCTGTTCCTTTCGGTTTAAACCGAATTTTCCTAATGTATTTTTATTCAAATCACCCCTGTGGTAAGGCGAACAAAACAAAAAAAAATATTTAAATCGGATGAGCTATATATATAGATTAGCGGTAAAAATTATAAAAAGTAAGTAGCAAATAGTTGATAGTAATAGTGAGTATACTTTATAAAAATAGAGTGCGTCTAATCTGCAGTTATACTTTCTTTTTATAATTAGGCTTCGCTATTAATAAAAATCGTGTTTAAACAGTTCACGGTGAGATGGTTCAAATGTTTAATTAATTTACGGAATAATTAATTTAAAACGGCTCACGTTAATTGCACTAAGTACCACAGCATGCAGGACCAAACAAAAATTAGAAAAACATATTTTAGTATTCGATTATCTCCTAGCTATTTTATCAATTTTGCAAAAATTCTATAAAAAAATTAATTTGGTCCAATTTTACTTTAGATTGGTTTGACAGTTAATATCAAAATCGATTCGCCATGCCGTCCTTAATTTACTTATTTACAATAAGCGACTGTTAATGTTAAAGAAGAAAAAAAGGATTTTCTTTGGCGTTAAACAAAATTTCTTGCCAGAAAAATCATAAAAATATTATAACAAATATGCAAAGTTAATACTATATAATAATTGCTGTTTAAAGTATAGCCAACCTATAAAAAGTAAGAATAGTTGTTAAAAAAGATAAAACAAAATACATGAAGTGTTTTTTTACTTTTAATTTTTTGTATTTTTTAATCTATTTTTTTCCAAATTTGACACAAATGTGCAATAAAACAATAGCATTTTTTTACGAATTAAAAAACAGTTAAATTTATTGCAATTTAACTATGATTTAGATTTGCTGAAATTCAAACATTATTAAGGAGGTAATAAAATTTAAATTAAGTTTCGCACGTTCAAATAAACACTATAAATAACTTGAAAGTATACATGATTGGTATTTTCAAACAAACTTCGTTTATTAATACAGTGTATATCTAATGATGCATTTTTATGCAATGCTAAATAAGTTATTAATATTTTTAGAAATTGATAAATAAAATCATTAAAAATCAATAAAAAACTTTAAAAATAATTACACTTATGCTTAATTCGAAATTCACAATGGTTTTATTTTATTTTAAGGTTTTTGTGATATGATTTTTCATTTTTTTAAGGTACCTTTACAATTTGGTTTATAAGTCCCAAATTGTAAAGATGCATTGGAAAAAACAAATAAAAACACATATCTTAAAAATGAATTAGTCAAAAATGACTAATTTGATAGTTATTAGTGGCTGCTGTTTCACTTGTTCCATGGTTAACCATGGAATACCATGGTATCCCAAAATTTATGTAAAATTGTCCCCTGAATCCGAAAATACCGTCAAAAATTATGAAAGTGAAGCAGTTTTTGAGATATAGTCAATTCCATATTAAATGGAAAATTGACTATATCTCAAAAACTGTTCTACTTTTTTAACTTTTCACGGTATTTTCGGATTCAGGGGACAATTTTACATAAGGTATATACCGTGGTATTCCATGGTTAACCATGGTACAAGTGAAAAAGCAGCCACTAATAACTATTAAATTAGTCATTTTTGACTAATTCATTTTTAGAGTGCCGAATGTAAATTTTGGCTAAACTAGTTTAAATTACTATAGAGCCACCTATACTTGTATATTTAAATTTTCCATTTAGTTTATTATTATTTTAAAATTTATGACTAAAACGTTTTGACATATTTTATAGACTATACAAATAGCTATGCAAATAGGTTTTACGATAAGTACCTACGTAAACACACAGATTTAAAACAATACCTATGTATACTATTTCTTAATAAACCAAAAACATTAACACTTAAAAATGAATCGATTCGCAAAAATCATGAACTATCAGGTAGGTGGTAAAGTACATATTACTTTACAACAGGAAAATCTTTACAGCAGCAATAAAAATTAATATCACAAAATGAGTTGTAGTTTATTGACGAGGAAGTTTATAAAAAAATACATTAATGTACAGACGGATTTATCGAGATTCTAGACGAAAGGCATACATTTCGAAAAAGTAAACAAAACAAGAAAGTGTTTTAATATTTAGTAAACAAATTTTAAATAATTTATAATTAGGTAAATAATTATTATGAATAAATTGTTCCAAACTATTTAACTACTTTACCAATAATCCTATTTGATTAACAAAATATATGGGTCATTCCACCAATTTTTTTTTTTAGTTTTAAATTTTGTTTTATGTTTTGATTATAAACGCCTTAAAAATTTTAAATCGATATCTTTTGCCGTTTCGTAAAAATTTTTAATGGATCACGAACCTGAAACACCCTGTATAGAAATGTTTTGCATGTCGAAAAAAACGGGTTTTCCACAATATCCCATAAACAAGACCTAACTGTTTATTTTTAGATTACCCTAGAAAAGTAATTGGCAAAAATAAAATGTGTATGCTAGAAAATAAAGACTTTATTTTGCCATACAAAACAACCAAGCATAAATGTTTAAACCTAAAATTTAAAGGCTCATGCAAAACTTTTTCGGTATATAAAAAAAATACTGGACATGATTGCTTACCTAATAAATTGTTTTTTATGTCGTTTATTTTTCGGTTGAATCCAATCAACCAGGGGTGACTTTTGGAAGTTAATTTAATGACAAAAAATCCATACAATGATCAAAATCACCAGGTAGAAAGGCGCCTCCGATTTAATGTAGCAATTTGTTCCATAGAACGAGTAGAACCGCATGAATTTATTATTTAATATCATATCATATAACATGTTTTATTTTCATATCTTGGTTTTTATGCCCAATTAAAGTAACTTATATTTAAAAAGTGGACCACAAAGCCTAAAGTACACAATAAGCAAAAACTTGTTTGTCTGGCTAACATTTTTTTTCAAAGGTTATCTACACTGCCTTCTCGTTCAAAATGCACATAAAAGAAACAATTTTCGTGAATGTCACTGACACACACTGTGCGCCGAGAAGCGCACAGTGGGGCGAGCGAATTTATTAATGAGTTTTTATGGGTGGTTCTCGCGTCCCACTCGAGAAATATAAATTTGATCTGTTTAACATATCGGAGTCATTGTTTTGGGCATCGCCCGGCCGCAACAGGTTTTTTAATCTATAATTTAGTTACATGATAATTATATCATATAGTTTTTTGCGAGTGGGCTACGATAATAAAGAACGTGTTGTGTTATAAAAATCAGAACATTTTTTGATAAAATATGTCAAAAATTATTTGAAATTCACCCACAACAAAAATTATTTGTGAAGTGAATATTGAAGTTATATTTTAGTTATTAATTAAATTTATTCTCATGTTCCAGTTTTTAGTAATTAATTTTAATCGAAATAGCATTTATTGGTTCACATGTATTTTATAATTTAACGCGGAAAAACTGGATTGAACAAAGTGTAAACGTGTGCAATTATCTATTGTGAAACGAATTTTGCATTTTATATGCGCAACATTAAAATTTATTATTATTTTGTTCGAACAAAAAAGCATTCGATTGTCTTTGCAGCGAAATTAACAAGACCTTGTTTTATTTTTGTATGAAAAACATGGTTTTAGTTTAGTTTTGTTTTAATTGGATGTTCTACTTTTATATTTGATGTTCTGGCAACACTGCCCGAGAAGACTCAATTTCTTATAAGTAGGTACACAGTTAAAAAATATTTGTTAATTTTAACCAAATTGTTTATGTTAAGTTTACAACCAACTGTAATCTGTTAACTTATTGAATAAATTTTCATTGTAACAATGGTCACATTTTCAACCTACTGTTGGGTGTTGAGTAGTTTTTTTTTTAATAATTGCAAGGCATTAAAACAAATTATTTATTATAACAAAAACATTAATTAACTCATATTATATAATGTACAAAATAAAACTTTTTAAACAACAAGTCTGCTTCGTTTATAGAATAGACCTTAAATATTTCTTTTAGAAAACGTCGAAATTTTAATTTTCTTAGTGATCTTTTTGATATTTTTATCATGCTAGATTTTACCACACTCCACTCGCACAAGTGAAGTCAATAAGATTATAACACAGACTGTGGATTATAAAGTTATGTTCACCAAGGAGAGCTCTGGCCCTTTCCCCCTCTTTTTAAGGGAAATAACAAAAATTTTGTTACCAATGCAAAACAATAATAATTAAAAAAGTCTTTTCATAGCAATAAAATATTTTTGTTATTGTTCTTAACGTAAGCTATTAACAAAGAACTGAAATAAAATTAATTTGAATTACAACGATAGTAATTTAAAAAAGACAAATATGCCATAGTAAAATGAACAAATTTTACTTTAACAACTGCGCAATTCTTTATGTAAGCACAACTCACACACAACTATAGATTTAACAAAAACATTTTAAGTTCGACAAAGATTTAATATAAACATAAAGTATTTATTATTGCCATGAGAATATGTTAAAAACTATTACTTTGTTGGATGAACATTTTTTTTATAAAAGCTCATCATTGCTGCTTCATTATAGTAAATGAGAATTTCATTAACAGTAATAAAAGTATATTCTGTAAATAAAAATAATCTCATTACTTTGACAAATCGTAGGTTTTTGTCCCAATAAGACACTGAAAATTTAATAAAAAAGGTATCTTAGGTGGTACATTTTTTTATAGCCATTACAATTTTAAATTTAAGATAAATAATATTATTTTAATAATCGCTTACAAAATTAGTTTCATTATCAGTGCAAAGTGTATTATATTTGTAATTTTAAAGGTTTTTTCGGTTAATCGTGCTAATGTTTCTTTTTTATTTCAGTGGCGCACGTAATGTGGCCAGAATGGGACTGGGGGCGGCCGTTTCCCCTGCCTCCTGCAGTGCAGTGCCTGGCGCAACTTCTCTACACGGGCTTCCACCGTTTCCTAGCAAGATTCTCAGGTCAGTAACCTCCTCACTTTTTCACTACTACTACTACACACCATACCATACCTACTACCACCGCTTACTAACTTATATGTACTACAACTATTGCCATATGTAGTATACAAGTTTTATTGCCGAAATAGGTGGTTTAATATACGTATACGGTGTACCCCAAGGGTCCACTTGCGGTCCACTCGCAGGGTTATGCCTTCATAACTGATTCGTACAGATGTGGGTCAATGGTACATACAACAAGTTTTTTAATTTGTGATTTAAAAAAATGTCCAAGCTAAAAGTGTGACTAAAAATACTTAAAAACGTAACACTCTAATAAAACACACTTCATCGCCTTTAAAATTAAAAACACAGGTGCAATTTGTGAGATGAATTATGTTCTTTACTTACAACATACATTTCGAATAAATAAAACCTAAAAATACTCTTGCCCTGAATCATTGGCTATGTTAAACCGTGAGAACCGTTTGCAAAGAAATAGATAATAATGAAGAAAAAACATTTCTATGTTTGGGCCTGTCGATTTGTAGCAGCTCTAGGCCCGATATGGGGAATAACGTTGAATGATTTAGCTATCAGCGACCATTATTCTGTCGCTAGGCTTTGGAGGACAAACTTGAGTCTATTTAAAAAAAACACACGTCACAACGCATTAAATCATTTACCTACAGATATCCAGCCTACATAGAACACCTATAATATTATATTAATTGCGAAAATTGTGCACTGAATATAACATGTGGGCGTCGTTTGTTTAAATTCAATGACAAATTTTCTAAATTGCACGAGCGAAGCTTGCGTGTTAAAATAAAAATATGTCAATTTAAAAAAAAATAGTCAAAAATAACTAATTATAAGTCATATTTGAACTCGGGTCTGTCGGTCATAACCAATGAGCCATCAGTCACTTTCATAAAAATTAATTTTATTTGTCTATAAATATTGCTCATAATATTTTAAAGTTGAATATATTTTTTGTGTTGCTGTTTTGAGACAGTTTTTGAGCAGAATTTTTACTATTCCATTCTAAGAGAGTATAACTTTGCATACGCGATGAATAGAAGAAAGACTTGCCATATCCTTAGCCGTTCAACCTTGGTTAATTAGCCGCAATGGAAATTAATGTCCTGTGGCAGATATTTTTCATTAAAATGATATATCGGCGTGTAATTACGTCATTCCGATCGTTCACGTTTTATTATTCGATACGATATCGCATTTATTTATTCTATGGGAAAACGTGCGGTAGACTATTGTTTTTGAAATACCTCCGGGTGCAGACAATTTGCTTAAGTGGTTTAATTGGTTTTTACAAAAAAGCTTAATTGGTAATTTTTTCTGAAATATTTTTAAAAAATGATTTTATAAATTTTTATTAAATATTTGATTCTTTTAGAAATATTAACATTTAAGTTTTATTTTTTAAGTGTCCAGGCAAATAGGAATTAATAACAGATACAAGTAGTAAAAATATTTAGTTAAGAGTAGGACCTTGGGAAAAATGCTTTTTTCTGAAAATATTCAAAGCATTCACAACTTGACATTATTTTAATTAAACAAAAATATCCTTAAGAAAAATAAATTTATTACAGAAAATAACAAATAAAACTAAACACTGAATTGAATTGATTTTTTCCACACTTAAAAAAATGTACATGCACTGATAATGAAACTAATTTTGTATGCGATTAATAAATTAATATTATTTAACTTAAATTTAAAATTGTAATGGCTATAAAAAAATTACCACCTTTTTTATTAAATTTTCAGTGTCTTATTGGGACAAAAACCTACGATTTGTCAGTAAGTAATGAGATTATTTTTATTTACAGAATAAACTTTTTTTACTGTTAATAAAATTCTCATTTACTATAATGAAGCACCAATTTTTTTATTGCTATAAAATGACTTTTTTAATATTTAATATTGTTTTGCAATGGTAACAAAATTTTTGTTATTTCCCTTATGTTATAATATTATTAATTTCACTTGTGCAAGTGAAGTGTGGTAAAACCTAGCATGATAAAAATATCAAAAAGATCACTAAGAAAATTAAAATTTCGACGTTTTCTAAAAGAAATATTTAAGGTCTATTCTATAAACGAAGCAGACTTGTTGTTTAAACAGTGAGTTCATATATTTTTTGTTTTGTACATCATATAATATGAGTTAATTTTTTTGTTATAATAAATAATTTGTTTTAATGCCTTGCAATTATTAAAAAAAAAACTACCCAACACCCAACATTAGGTTGAAAATGTGATCATTGTTATAATGAAAATAGTTTATTGAATTAACAATTAATTTGTTGTTAAATTTACATAAATTTTATTAATATTATAAAAAAGTTTTATTGTAAACAAAAAGGGAATTGTAAAATTTACAAATTTTCCATGAATAATACCATTAGGGTTTCATTAATACTACAAAACGTTTTTGAATAAACGGTATAAAACTGTTTTTTTCACAAATAATAATAACTATATTTATCAATGCGTTTCTGCATCTAAAAGCGTGTTATTTTTATAAACATAACGTAAATGTACTTTATAATTAATGTAAATGCTATTACTGAAAGCAGACTATTTTATGTAATTTTTGCTGAATGGTATATTTTTAATTATATTTAACATATCTTGAATTCCGGTGTTTTTATTCCACCCACGTGGTGCCAAGTGCAATTGGTTATTTCCTTTAGAAACACTCACGACATTAGCTACCGGCTTAATGCTATAATGTCTTAAACTCAATGTGGAAACGTTTAATTTGCAAAATATTTCTATAATCTCGTAAACCCATTTTAATAGATGATGTAATTACATCGCCCACTTTCAATTTTGCTCGTTTGTTTGTTTGCTTGTGGAAAAATTAACCGCTCACTACACAAACTTGGTCTGTAGGAATTTTAACGTAATCCACATTGATTTTTTTAAAGCCCACCAACACGACACCGCACAAAAGTGTACGCGTATAATCCGGCACCGGAAGTGGTTGTCATTTAATGCGCGGCGGATGTCACCGTTCGAATTTGATTTTTTCTCTCCTATTCCTCTCCTTCGCGTCGTTTCGATTTCTACTATTGGCTGAACGGCGCCACAGCGACTTTGATCGCCCGATGAAAAATAGACGACGCACAGTTACCTACGCAGTAACAAAATCCCAATATTAACCAGATTTTAGGTTAATCCAGGTCCACACAACTTTATGTTAAGTTTACAACCAACTGTAATCTGTTAACTAATTGAATAAGTTGTTTGTAATTTAATAACAAAATCCTATATCAATTTGAATTTGAAATTTTCAAAAAGTACCTTATTTTTACAAACCTTTTTGTAGACCCAGTTACAAAAGTATTTGTTGGAAATTGGGATATTAAATAAAAAGAATTTTGATAGGAAATATTGCTTTATTATAATCAATTTCCTAAACAAAAAAATTAACACATACCTACATATAGGGTTGGGAAAATTTCACTTGAAATTTTCATGACATTTATGAAATTTATTAAAATTTCCTAAATTTCTGAAATTTCATGAAATTTGTTGAAACTTTCAATAAATTTCAATCACTTTAAGTGGAATATATTAATATTGAAATAAGCCCACTCGGGGACCATGGCAAATTGCCTGTCTTACCTCCTACCCCTCTGTGGGCCCCTGCACCAATAATATAAATAGTAAATACCTATGTTTACCACAAATTTCTTGAGATTTCCTTTTAAAATATTTTTAAAATTACTAAAACTAAAAGAGATATAGCACTTTTTGGTAAGCTAATGAGATTGTTTTATATTTATATATATTTATTATTTTTAAATATTTTACTGAAATTTTTCGAAAACTGAAGAAACTTTATCAAAATTTTATGAGCCAAAGGCATTTTTTATCCGTTTTACGATGCAATTATAGCAAAAGTAAAAGTTTAAATTAATCATGACTTTTAAAAAAAAATTTAAAGTCTGATTTAATTTACAAATTAAATTGGTAACTGAATTAAATTATCTAAATTAATTTATGCATATAAGTAACAATAACTACTTATAGTGTATTCAAATCCAAGCCGAACTAAAAAAAACGCCCAGACGCTTGATAACTCGTTCTTATTGGTCGATTCGGAATCTGTTGTAAAATATTATTAAAGGTCCCAGGGGAGGCCGCATGTGAAATTTATGCGAAATTTTCAGTAAATTGCAAAACTTTCATTGAAATTTCTGAAACTTTCACAGGCAATGTTGAAATTTTCGGATTGAAATTTTTAAAAATTTCACTTTTCCAACTAAATGAAATATTTCAAGTTTGAAACATTCAACTGTGACATTTGAAAATTTCAACTGTCCCAACCCTACCTACATATGAACACAAAAATTCTGAAATCATCAAATAATAAAGAAATTTTGTACAATATTATTATCAGTACTACTCCAACACTTACTGTTATATTTCGTAACTTTAACCCACTTCAATGTATCCCATAATTTCAGTTAAATATGTATAAGGAATCCGAATAACAATAATAACAGATTGCTGGTAATATAATATAATTATAATATGATTGTAATATAATATTATTATAAACACTATGGGCAGTTAACGTAAGCAGAAACATAAGTTGCAGACGCTGAAGTCAGTTGAACTTGTTGATGCGTATTGTCAGTGGAAAATGTTTTGATTAACTGCCTGAAATCACGTGGACTTTTTCAACGAAATAATTTGTTAAACAATAACAAAATAATCTGTAACCTTTGAAATTAACAAAATGCTTAAAAAATTGCATATTACCTTTGCAAAACTTTCGGTAAAATATCTTCTTTTGTTAAAATAATTACAAACAGTTTTTTTCCAAAAAATTATGTTAAAATTTTACAAAATAAAATTAACAAACTACAAACTCATCATCTAAAGTACATTTATGTTTTATTAATTTTTAAGCCGGTGTAATTTGCCTCAACTGTTAAACTGACGGTCTGATGCAAGTTTTTGTTTAAATTAGCGATAAGAACA